AATTTTTCGTACAGTGTACCATCATGCATGTCATCATGAACTCAATACTGATATAGTGATAACACTTTCCTTATTATTATCGAAATTTACATGGTTGCGACTTTGTTTACATTTCGTAACGGCACTAATACATTATATTTAATTTCAAAAATTGTTTGAAAAAATAATTTGGAATTTATAAACTATGTAGAAATAGAACGAAATATCGGTAATTAAATAAATCAATAGAATATGTAGGGCACAAAAGAACAGGGACTGAAACCTTACCGAAAAGAACTGGTTTTTGAACTAGAACCCTTTGAATACTGGGAATCGAAACCTCAACGAAACTCTTCTTTAAATTAATTTAAAAACCGGACCTGATACTTTTACTTTAAAAATTTTTTTACATAAGTATAAAACCAAAACAGATAACATTTTTTTTAGGTTTTAAGAACCAAAAAGAAACCAATACCTAAATTTTAGTTTTTCTCGGAACCAACCGGAACCGGAACCGACATTTTAGTTTTACTGGGAATCGAACCGGAACCGTAAAAATCATCAAGGTTCCAGTCCTTAAATTTAATTCAATCTTGTAAAAGATACTTGTAAAAGTATTCAAGCATTTAAAGATACAGATAATAATGTATTAATATATGTACCTGTTTTAAAAATTATTTTTATAGGTACTCAGTAAAAAAAAATGTATGTACAATATTATTGTCAATTATTGTAAAAAAAAAACAAATCATTTATTAGATGCTTTAATAATACTTTGAATTTTTTTACCTCATAAAGTTATAACTTAACTGAACAAAGTTTTTTTAGCATTTTGAGTATTTTTTATATATTGTATATATATCATACATTTATAAATATATTATTAGATGCCAAATAATGTTTAAATGTCATCAAACTTTATTACATTTTTAATATAATTGGTTTCGACTTCTTTATATGATATACACTTTATACTATGTATTTTTTTATGTATATTATATTGTATGTTTTATGTAGTAATAGTTACAAAGTGTCGGTGTTCTGCAACGCATATTTTTATCCGACCGTACAAAGTGTCCGCATTTTGCAATGTACATTTTTATCCCACTGTATATAAAGTTTCCACGTTTTGCATTTTAAATAATGGACCGTAGAAAGTTAACGTTTGGAGTTTACCATTTATTATTATGTTTAATATAAATGGGTTTACTGGTTGCTGCAGCTGAAGTAACAATATTAGGAACAATATTTGTGTAAAAGTATATTTAAAGAATAATATCATTTTTTTTTTTTTTTATGGCGATTTAGATAGTAGAACTTCAACGATAGGTATCCAGTAACTAAAGTTATATTGATTTCCAAATAATATGTTAAGAATAAGTAAGTAAGGAACTTAGTATTATAAGCATTAAGCACAGACTTGGCTCATATTGGGACTGGACAATTTCTAATAGTTATGGAATGTTGTTTTTCCGATCGATTGACATTCAGTTTCTGATTTGTCGAATATTTTAATAGGTACCTAGGTAATGGATCTAAATGGTAGAATTTTGGCTGCAGGCTTAATCTGAGTGCATATTTGGTCTCAGTGATGAAACATTCTTCGATACATAATATTATAATGTTATAGCTAGTGAGTTATTAAACCAAACCATGTTTTTTGTATAATATATTAATTGGTGGCATTTTTCGACTAACCTCAGTCGATTGTTGATCTTCTCCGTTACATGAAGTAGCTGAGGATATATTATTGTCATGGTCGTCATCGTTAAAGAGGGACAGGGTTGTAAGAGGATTTTTGATTGCATCACAAGGCGGCGAGTGCAAAGTTCCACTTGGCTGCAAATCTTTATCGGAAATCGAGAAAGAAAAATTTTGGGTCCCAACCCCTTTTTTGAGGGACATCCGGTTTGTTCTATTGTAATGGCGTATAATATGACATGGAGGCACTGAAAAGCAAGAGACGGCGGGTAACGACTAACGAGTGTACGTGACGGATTCAGATAACCAACTGTGTGAATTTTATCTGTTTAAATATTTTGCAAATATGTGTTGTGTACTTGTGTGTACGAGGTTATAATATTATATAATATACAGGATGTTCCGAATTTTATGTGAAAGTAAAATTCAGCATGTCGCATTTAAATTTGGAAAATATGACCGGAAATTCTTTTCGAGAGATTAATTAATTTTTTTAGTAATTAAAAAAGGGATATTTTTGTAGCCGTACTTAACTTTTAGAATTCGAAAGAAAACCAATATTTTTCAAATATAATTCATAAGCACTTTATTCATTAATGCATTTTTGTGGATCATTTATATTTATGCGTCAGTAATTAAAGAAGCTATTTAAATTTGAATTTGTTTTTAATTTGTATAATTCCGCCCATGAACAATAATAACTTTATACTTTGTAATTCTGTTTTACCCATAAATAGTATTTTTAAATCACAACAAAATAAATAAAATCGTTATTTTTCGTTTAAATATTGAATTGTGTCCAAATTTCAAGTTAAAATATCTATTTAAAAAAAAAAAACTGTGTTTACGATTTTTTAAAAATTTTTTAGATACACCTAGTATGAAACTATATGAACTGTTTTTAAGAAATCTTGTTTTAAATTTTCAATCCTTATCCTTAAAAATTAAACATTTTAAAAATAGTTTAACTAAAAAATGATTTGTACATTTTTAAGATTTTGAAGAAATTTCATCAATATCTTTACTTAAAATGCTTATAAAAAAAATCCTTTCTATGTATCTTTAATAATATTAAACTTCTACAACAATAACTTATGAGAAATCATGTTTTAAATTGCTTAGCTTTTTAACCAACCGTTTTTATCGATGTTTTTAGATCAAAAACTAAAAAAAATTTAAGTTGAAAATGTCTATCGAAATTATTAAAAATATTTTTGTTGTTTTCAAAAAAAGGTCAAAAGCAAGAATTATTATCGGTGGTATGGAGGGCAAAGCTATCACACGGTATAGTCACACAATATATATACAATATTGGTAAAATATATTACAAATTAAAGTAAAGGCATTTTAATTTTTAAACTACATTTATATTATGGACTTTTTTTGCAGAATGGTTAAAGCAAATCACTACAAAGCTAGATAATGAGTATAAAATTATAGCAGTCTGTAAATAACAAAAACTCATACATAACCATTAATATCACCAACTACTGACATTCTACAAATTAAAGCTAAAATTCAAATGTGGATACCCTTAAAATAATGACCCATCAGAGTAAGCGACCATTCTAAATTCATTAAAAATTAAACTATATAGAAATATTATTTAAAAATTATAGGATCTCATTTGAAATACAGAAGTTATTCCTCAAACTTTCCCCTTCCAAATATCGAAAAAAATATTTAGTGTAATATATATATATATATATTAGATATTAACTAATTTTGCTGAACAATATGATTCCAAATCGATTTTGAATGGTTAATATTTTCCTTGTTTTAATATTTCATAGTTAATCTGCTGTCACGTTAAATTTGGATCACCCTGTATCTATAAGAAGTCACATATTTTTATAGAGGAACATGTATAATTACAATTCATTAGTTATAACTATAATTATTATACGCATCGTAGTTGTTAGAACTTTGAATGTCGTACCTACGATTTATCTACATAATATTGTATCATTAAGATATAAACTATAATACTTATTACATAGAACGCTGTTAATTGCGTTCGTCGGAATCTAACTATAATGAAAATATTTTAAAATATATTAAATCGTAGGTCGTTGTATATGACGTAGTGAAATACATACCTACAGAAAAATGTATCTTCTGAATAAAATATCTGGTATTGTCTTAAATCAAAAACTATTGGACCATTTTCAATAAAAGTTATATCAATAGATTTCTTGAGATTTGGAGAGTGTTTATAATAGCATACTTTGTTAACCCACATAATAACATATAAGTATCTAATGGGTAGCTCATTAGTTACACAAATTTCATGCTCACACATGAATTTAGTTTTCAGCTGATGAAAAAAAAATAATTTTTTTTTTTTAACATTATTTAGTTTACCATTGATTACATAATAGTACCTATTATATATTACTATTATAATCAGTAGAAATATTGCATATACCTACATATTTTTCCAAATATATTTATAAAAAAAAATCTTTGGCATGGGCAACGCTTGGTGGCATAGCTAGTAATGTATATAAATAATATATTTTTAACGCCAGACGTGAGCGGAATAAATAAATTATTGTACTACGATGTTTGAAAAGTTGTGAAGTCCAGACGCGTGACCCGATCATTTCACGTTGATTCTCGACCATGAATACGGAGAGTATAGCTATAGTCAGAAACGAAATTTGTAAATTCAAGTCCGTAAAGAATGGACGGGGTGACGTGAAGTCGTCATTCCAACAAGAGTAGTGTTAAATGTTCATAAAATAATTTTTTGCAAACCCCGACATGTGCCCGTTAGGGCCTCTAAAAATTGTTTACGCAGCACCTTGGATGGACCTTATTAGTTACGATATTTCCACTGAGAAAAGCTGACATTTCTGACGAATGCCACCTGTACATCAGTGCCCAGTGGTTCGGGGCCCGAACGCGGCGTGAGAACATCCGGCCAGCTGGACATGAATTTCGGAGCGCGACACGCGTCCCACCTGACCACCAAGTGGACCACAGACCGGAAGTCGGACGCTCCAAAGAAATATTACTTATACATTTTTATGCGAATTTTTTTTTTTTAAAGTAATCTTAGTCAAGGTCAACTCTAGGCGGGACAGCTATAGTTATATATTTTAACACGAGTGAACAGAATAAATAAACTGTAGTCTGTACCTACTGCAAAATTAGGAAAGTAGTTCACTATACAGACGCCTGATTCGGTCGTCCCGCGTCAATTACCGATGAATACGGAGAACTAAGGAGTACCTATCTGGCGAGAAACGAAAAAATATTGAGTCCTTAATGATGGGCGGGGTGAGAAGAGTGTTTCTTCGATTTATGGCGAATTTATGCCGATATGTGCCCGTTTGACTCTCGAAAAATTGCCTACGCACACAGTGTTTCATGTCCACGTGGCGGGGTATTGGTCAAAGTTTTCAACTAGCAATAATCTCAACTCGGATGCACCTCATTGGTTACGATATTGCCACTGCACAAAGCTGAAGATTCCGACGATTGCCACCCGTATATCTGTGGTGCGGACGTCCGTCCAACCGGACACGGATTTCGGTGTGCAGCACGCGTCCCGCCCGACCGCCGAACGGACCATTGACCGGAAACCGGAAGCTCCGCCGGCTGGACTTCGGCTGGCAGTGTCGGGCGCTGTGTGTTGGACGCCAGCAATCGGCGTTTCGCGCGACCCGCCCGGTGACCAGCAACGACATCTATCGGTACGGATTGGTGCTCATTCATTTGGAAAGGCCGTCGTAATAATGCGATTTGTGACCTACCTATCGTACTTATACGAGCACTTGAGACCCACCTGTTGTAGGATGTAGCCGTTTAAATGCCTCCCATCGTAAGGCGACAGTGCTCGTAATAATATTACAATATTCGAAAATGTTCAAATCCCATACCTTAGAGATTAAACCGTACTATTTAGTATTCCCCTTTCTATGGGAAACAAGTGTATAGGTACCTACTCAAATATTTATAGTTAAAAATGTACCTTGTTTCATATTGTATTTACAAAATTATTTTAAATTGTAGTTTAACTGTAGGTACCTATTTCTATATCATATAAAACATATTGTTATACAGCATTTTTTTAATTTCGTTATATCATATACATCAAATTTTGAATTAGTAATTATAACTTTATAACACGAGTTTAAAATTTACATTTGTGGAGTGTAGTGAACCACCCTGTTATCAAAAACGTATTAATATAGGTAATGTAATATTATAATATTATATTACATTAACTAATTATAATCACTCATTAGATAATGAATTTCAATGATTTTAGTTCATATTTGATATTTCCAAATATGTTGAGACTTTTCCAAAATATATTAGTATTTATCTTTTCAAGTATCACCTTGTATATTATTATAAATTAGGTAATATTTAATATTACTACATATCTACGAGGTGTCGAGGTATATCTACGAATAGGTTCTATAAGCATTGTATTGGGCAGTATCTAATAAATTAGGTTATACATGCTGTACATGATGTATTAAAGTTAGAGCTTTCAAACGTTATAATAACTTTATGATTATAACGTTATATTTGACAAAAAAATTAGTAAACGTAATTATAACGGAAAATGATAGTCAAAAATAATTAAGTACTGCAAAACAAAACATAACGATAAACAAAATATTATATTATATATCATTAAACAAAACATAACGCAAAACGAAATATTTTAAAATCTATTTATTTAAAAGGTCTATTGATTTCGTAGAACCATTTATTTCATGCAAACAATTGATTATATTATATTCCACATCCGGGCCATTGCCAACCGAATTAGTTATTATTTTAAACGATAAACGTAAAACTTGGACAACATTTTAATTCTATATAACAATAAACATAAAACTTGGATAATGTTTGAATTCTGAGTACGGTAACTGAAAAAGTTGAATAACGTTTAAATTCTAAATAACGATAAACACAAAAATTGTGTAACGTTTTAATTGTAAATAACATAAAACAGAATTTTTTTTTTCAAATGCAAGCCCTGATCAAAGTTAAATAACATAATGCGTGACACATTTTGTAACTCGTACTCAGTTACCTACGTATTTTACAGTGACATAAAAATGTAGTTAATCCGAATTATAGCCACTTTTCTATAAACGAAAAGATAAAATAAATGTTGGAACAAAATACAACTAATAACGATTCTGAATCATCAATTTTCCTATAAACGGAAAAATTAAAGGCGTGTTGGAATGTTTTCTCAGTAATCATCTCTATAAACGAGTACTTATATAATATATATTAATATATTATGTTAACGAGTAAACTTGATTATTAATATTATACCAATTTTGTGTGGAAATCGGAACATTCATAAATTAAGTATATAATTACAAATTGATTTTAAATCTAATTATGACTTAAGTTTGTTTCTACTACAGATGTTAAGAAAAAAAGAAATAATAATGCAATACCTAACTACATAGTTACTTAAATAATAAATTCCCAAAAAAACTTTGGAATATTTTTATGTAAAAAATCAATTTACCGATGTTGTATAATAAATTATGAAAAAGAAGTGATTTTTTAACTTTTTGGGTTAAAATCATTTTGCTGATCTTTTTGCACATTTTTTTCTTTTATGATCTTTTCTGAAATTTGGAAGGTAAAGAGATGTGCTAAGATTGGTATATCTATACTATTAATAATATTAATATTTGTAAGTATCTTATAATATTAGGTATAGGTATAATTATATATGTAGTTACTGCGCGTTATCGACGTTTGTTCTCACGATCGACCCATCACATCGTAATAAGTAATAATATACAATTAAGTGTGATAGGTAGGTAGGTACCAAAGCAATCGATGTACAATGATTCGCAATCATCTTGTTACTAACTGGTAAGGTAAAAACCGACACGTATTTAATTAGGTAGGTACGTTATTATTACGGATTCCGCACTCAGTGCAAGACCGGTCCGATAAAGTTTTCGAATTATAAATTATAATGTAAATGAGACAACAAATATTGCATTTATACTGACCTACACCGTTTACAGTGGATGGCTATGTGGACGCTGTTAGCGTAAAAAATTACTTTCGTTAATAAAATAATATGTTATTTTCAATGTAGGTATATAGTATATACCTACTATTGCAGTTGTACGGCATCAAAATAAAAAAACGACTTTCGCATTTATTTGTTGAACATAAAACCCCTACTAGTGGACTTAACATACCTGGTTTCACCTATTCACCTTGACCCATAAGGTGCGAAACCGACATAATATAATATAGTATCGATTATTATATTAATATTATTTATTTAAAGGTAAAATAACCCAAAGTAGAACCTATAAATATAAATATTTTATATTAACAGGTAGTTAGCTAAAAATTATAAGACTCATTATATAACATAATTTGATTCGTGACAAAGTACATCAACAAAGTAAAAATAAATAAATGGGAATATAAAATAATAATAAAAATAACATAAATATGTGGATGTTCAATGTTCATTACTCAGATGCATATTGTATTATAGAATGGTAGGTACCAACCATGGATATACATTAAAAGGAATTGGGGAAAGTGCGAGAAAGGATGGAATTTTAAAATTTAATTGGTAGAATAGAGAAGAAGCATCAATGCGTCCATCCATCAATCTCCATAAGAATCAAGCATGGAAACCAAGTTCGTCTCTACTCTTCCATCAGCTAAGGGCTCGAGACCGAATTCATTCATTATTAAGTTGTAGTAGTGCAATGATCAATACTCAGAACAAAGGACGCAGAATGCGAAAATCTACTTTGGACACGGTTTTTGTTATTATTTATTAATAACTTTTGAATAAAATTGTTTTCGTAATGACATTGTGACATTGTTCAGTTATGGATAGTTACCTAAGTTAAAAAAAATGTAGGTGAGACACAATTTAATCTGTAATATTATGCTTCGTATAATATATTTCTAATCTTTGCATAATTTAATATTGTTTATATTTCTATTTATTAATCATAAACTCTTTATATCTTTGTATTCAAATTTAGATTCTGAGCGGAGCGATGGATGTACTGATTATACAACGATATTCTGCAATCTTTTTTGTTATAAAATTGAATCTAATTGATACTTTAATACGGATCAAAAGTAAAAAATTCGCAGTAATTTTCTTAATAATTGGGAAACATGGTAAATCTTTACTAAAAATCACAAAATCGAATATCTTGTTTGGTTATATCTAAAAAACAACTACCTAAGTATAGAAGTTAATTGACAGTTTCACCAAACTATTATACTACCGTCTTTACATGGTATAATTTACAAACTATTTTTATTTTTGAGCTAAGACAGTATCTACTTTATTTTTTTTTTTAGTTTTTTTCTATAAATATCGATAAAAAAAATTCACTTGGGCCAAAAACCTTGAAAAAATAATACAATTTATCACATACATTTTATTACTGGAATTAAAAAAGTTGATCGTAAATACACAATTACTTTTTGATCATTTTTATTTTAAAATCCTGATGAAAAATATTGGGCTTGTCCAAACAGCTTGAAAGTCCAATACAAGATTCCATATTAGTGTTCATTTAGTAATTTTAAAATATTAAATATAGTTTGGGTTCATTTTTAAGACCATTTAATATTCAAAAGTTGAATAAATCACGAATGTTTGCAAATTAAATGGAATTTGAACATTTATAAAATGTTCAACTTTTATAGCTAAGACTAGAAAATTTAAGATGAAATCTAAAAATTATAAAAACACATTTTTTTTTTTTTAGGCATTTGAATTTAAAATGTTTTGTAATAAATATTCAAAAAGATTTGTGGAGACTTGAAATATTTTGTTACGTATATTATTATGTTTTACTATATGAGAAATGCACTTTTAAAATATTTAGATTAATTTTAAGCTATTGCCGAATTCACATACCTAATAACAGTGCTTGAATTGGAAAAAAAATAGAAGGGGGATGCAAAAGTATAAATGATATGTGCGTCCCCGAACATTTAAATGTCTTACTGTTAAGTGGTAGCATATGTCCCCCTCCCGCTACAATGACATTTTACACCATACACCAATAAACCTAACCTAACCCTGATACTATCATAGATATATAATATAGTGTACTTAAGAAGTTTTAAGTACCCACGAATAGTATTATACACTCAACAAAATAACTAAAATAGGTATGCTAGGTTTTTTAATATGTAATTTCGTCCCAAATTTGAACTTAAAATGACCATAAAAATAAACTGTGCTTGTGTATTTTTTAGATTTTTTGGTAACAGAATTAACTACTTACGTGGAATCTTGTTTTAAATTTTCAATCCTTAGCTATAAAAACTGAACATTTTATAATTTATTAATTACGATGATTGATAATTTTCGAGATTTTGATAAATTTAGTCAAAATGCGATCTTTAAATGCTTATAGAAAAAAATTGTGCCAATGTATTTTTAATATTTTTCAATTGCTATTGTAACAATATATCAGGAGCATTGTATTAATTTTTTACACTTTTTGGCCCAACAGATAAAACTTTATTGATATTTATAGAAAAAAAAAACTAAAAAAATTGAAAACTAAAAAGGTCCGTAAACGGCTCAAAAAGAGTCAAAATATTTTCAAAATTGTATGGTGTATAGGAAATGCTAATATAAACATTCAGTGAAATTTTCATGTATCTACAGTAATTCGTTTTTGAATTACAACAAAATAAGGAAATCGCCACATGAGAAATCGAGTGAATATCCAATGTTGTAAAAATTTGAATTTCAAACGCTCATAAAAATTTAATTTGACTTTCTTATAGAATTTTTTTTTTT